AAGATAATAATTAAGTATTTTGTTAGAACTCAATGATTATCCTAATTATATTTTAGATTTTTTATATTTAAAATAAGATGTTTATCCTGTATTTGATTGTGTTTATCTGCAGTTAATTACACGGATTCAGTTATGGGATGAAATCAGATAGGGATGAATGGGTTTAAGAGTTTTAAGAGTTTAAGAGTTTTTAAGAGTTTTAGCCAAATGCATTATAATATAGTATAGATATATATATATATGTGTGTGTGTGTGTGTGTGTATGTGTAACAAACACTTTGTGAAACAAATATATGTTAATTAATACACTAAAATCAAGTTGTAGATATAAAAGAATCATGTGAAATAGCACATGATGCTCCGATTTTCAAAGTTATTAAATGTGCAAAACATGTTAAATCCAAGACAAGTCATTGAATGTTATCAAATGATATTTGTCCTAGAGGTATTGTAGTCCCTAGCCTCCTAGGATGTCATGGATTCAAACCTCACCAAAGTTGAAGAAGGTATGAGTTTATTTGTTGCATTTGCTGTATATAAATATTTAGAAGAGAGAAATAATATTTTATTAGAAGTACTAAATATATTTTAATACTGTATTCAATGTTAGAATCTCTGAAATAGAGTAGCTGTTGAGGTCTGATGCAGTTTCTTTTAGAGATTTTCACTTTCGATACTCTATTTTCACGTTAGAGATGCTCTTAGAGATTTATCCAAATTTGAATGTTTCATCTTCTTTCTCTTTCACTTACCGAATGAATATGGTAAGGACCAAGAATCTTACCTGGTAAGAACGAATGCACGAACCGAGAGTCTTACCTGGTAAGTGATGACAACGATTTTTACCATGGTTAGCGCTTACCGGATAAATTGTTACATACAATGTCGTTTTAGTAGACTAAAATTTTACCCGATAAGTAAGAAATAAAGTTGAATTTTACCGTTAAGCGCTTACCGGGTAAGTGTTTAGGTAAAAGGCCCGTAGGGAACTTTAGTGTAAATAAACGATAAATGAAGGGGGTTAAATATAAAATTTTATGATAATTCCAATAATTGGAGAAAAAGAAAAATCAAACGAACAGAAAAAGCTGTCAGGAGGTGCAACTGATCTTCCATCCCCACCAAAATTCTTCTCAATTCTCTGTGTGTGTGTGTATATATATATATACATGTATGTACGTATAATACCCTCAAGATTACACATAACAAACACCACATAAGATTGGAGAAACACATATACGTAGGAATTATTTGATGGTGGAACCGGTGGAACTTCCGAGCCGAATTGGGATTCTTCCGTTCAGGAACAAAGTCTTGTTGCCTGGCGCAATAATTCGGATTCAATGCACTTCTCCAAGCAGGTGACGATGTTTTAGCTTTGTTGATCGAGTTTTTATTTGATGATCATATTATTTTTTGTTTTTATTGCATCAATTTCATCGCACAGTGTATTAGGTACAATTTGTGGTGGTAGTGATGTTATTCGTCTCTCTTATGGATAAATAGGAATAGATAAGGATAATCGAGGTTGACCGATTATGGCTTGCTAAACACACTACCAATTCAACAATTGGATGGTTGTATTCTATGTAGTATATGTAATTTTAATCGATTGTTGTTGGCAGTTTCTTGTTTTGTAATTTGAATGGGATTAGAGGAGATTGAGTTGATTGATGCTTTAACTATACATGGTTTTGGCATTTTATTTAGCATAAATAATTTTGTAATTCAAGTCAGCTAATTTTATTGGATCATAAAGTGATAGTTAGAGGATAGGAAAATAGGTCCATAACCATGGTGAATAAAAGGATTAGGGATAATGATATTGTCTTTTAGAAGAAGATTTTATTCATGTAAATTAATAATTAGAAGTTAATTTGTTTGAATTTGATCATATGTCAATATGTCATGATGCATCTTTGTTCCTGAATGTGGAGTGGATGAAAGTTCGAGGCAACAATAGAATGACAATATGTGTCTGGGATGTATATATATGTTTATAGGATTTGTTTGAGCTTTATTATGGCCCCGTACATGGGATCAAGTTATGGGTCATTGTAACGTGAAATCTTGATCAACCCTTCTGGGTTCCTGCTGTGATTTCCCCTTCTTTTTACCTATTATGAATGTGTAAAGGTTGAGAGCTTGATTGATGAGAGAACTCCCTATCTCAGTAACAAGTTTCTGCGTGTACAAAGTGGACAATATCTAGCACGGTTAGCCTGGGATGTTACAGATGGTACCAAGGCAGGAACTGGACTGGTGTGCCAGCGAGGATGCTGGACTCCTAAGGGGGTGGATTGTAAGATCCCACATTAGTTGGAGAGGGGAATGAAGGTTTCCTCATAACGGACCGGATACCTTCTCAATCAGACCCGTTTCAAAACTATGAGTCCAGGTGTGTGGACAATATCTGGTACGATTAACCTGGGATGTTACAAGCTTCTCTGCTAAATGCTTGTGGTAGTGTCTTTTTTGAAAGTTGGAGTTATTATTTATTTACATGTAGCTCTAGTGATTAGATTTCAGCACAGATTGGATTTGATTGGTATTATGATTGATGCAGTGTGAAATTGGTGGAACAAGAACTGTGGCAGAGGGAGGATAAAGGGTTGATTGGCATTCTGCCAGTTCGAGATTCTGCAGAAACGATCACAGTGGGATCTATGGTGACTCAAGGTGATTTGATTATGACTCCTTTTTTACCGTTGGAGTCCCACATCGGCAACATTTGGACCATTTCTCCTAGACTTGGGATCACGGTGAGATCAGCCTGTTTTCATGAGACCCGTGAGACCACTTTTTACACTTGAAACTTCACAGCAAAACACTGAAGCTAAGTCCCACTTTTTGTTGGAAGGTTCGGATTTTTTTACCTTCATAGTGTTCTGCTGTGAAGTTTCAAGTGTAAAAAAGTGATCTCACGAGTCTCACGAAAACAATTTGGTCTCACATGAACCCAACCCATTTCTCCTACATATATATATATATATATATATATATATATGTTGGTTGGAACCTCCCCTTTCTCCTGAAGGGCTCTTTTGGAGAGTGATCTGGTGGTTTCACATTTTCTCATATGGTATCAGAGCCAAGGTCCGCCACTCTAGGGACTCGACACCCTGGGACAATTTGTCTCCATCTAGCCTCCATTGGAGTCCCACGTCGGCAAGACTTGGACCATTTCTCCTGTATATATGTTAGAACCTCCCCTTTCTCCCAAGGACTCTTTTGGAGAGTGATTTGGGGGTTCCACATATTCTCACGTTTACTAAGGAATCAAATCCGCAAAAACTAACTTTTAGTCCTATTGAGTGTAGGGGGTGACTTGGGTGGTAGAAGCTCCAAGAATCAACCAGGCTTATCAGATTCTCACAAGCTTGATGGGAAAAGTCAGGAACCCATCCATTGGCATACAAAGTATATTTTTGCAGCAGATGGCTATTTTGATGACTATGATTTATGATAACATGTTGTTCTACAGATCACCCAATCATGATGTTTAATGTTCAAAATTGATCTTAGGGGAGTTGCTGCTCGTGCATTGCATCTATCAAGAGGAGTCGAGAAACCAAGTGGAAGGGTTACCTACATAGTAGTTCTTGAAGGCTTGAGCAGATTTAGTGTACAGGAGCTCAACACAAGAGGAACATACACTACTGCAAGAATTTCCCCTATTGATATGACAAAGGCTGGTATACCATCCAATGACATTATTCCTTTTGAAATTCTACATAGACTCACCATGTTCACTTTAGGAATTTCATGCAAGCTAAGTGCTGATCGTTTATTTGTACGTTGTGCACATGTGCATACAAGTAATTGAAGATGTTTCTTGGTTTCTATGCACGTGTGCATGTTATGCACATGTGCATACTGGAAAAATTACTAACAAATTACTTGTATGCGCATGTGCATACTTTACAAATGAATGGTTACTAGGGTGTTCCTTAGCACCTTAGTTTTCATTTTTTTTTGTGGTTTTCACCTGAACCTGGCCCTATTGTCATGTTAACAGTTATTAAGCAATTTTTATCATCAACTAGACTGCAGCTTTATATAAACACTTCTTTATGTAATACTTTACTTTCTTTTCCCAGTAGCCCTTCCTCTTATGTGTTGAAGCTTTCGTCATTGGTAATTGAGCATTTTAGTTTTTGGATTAAACATTGGATAGCATCAGATCAAGTTTGAGTAAATATGTTAAGTTTGAAGTTTATGTCCTAGTCTTCTAGTTCATCCTCTAGGCTTGTGACAATATTAATTGGCATTATGTAGAGAACTAGCTTTAAGCCCTGGTCTGTCAAGATGCTGAGTTACTACGGTTTTCTAATCTTAATTAGAGATGGAGCAAGTAGAACAAGACGCAGACTTCATAGCATTGTCTCGTCAGTTCAAACTCACTGCCATGGAGCTTATTTCTGTTCTTGAGCAGGTATGACTAATAAATGATATAGTCATTGATGCATATGCTACAGAGAACAATGAGGAAAAATATTCTTTTTGAGTCGCATGAAACACGTTGTATTCTTCTTATCTCACTCACTCTCTTTCCCAAGTTTGTATTTCCTCATTGTATTGTACTTCAAGTCCATTATGGAAATTTACTGAGTGACTCAACTGGTTCTTGTATTTTACATAGCGGGTGTAGAGGTTATTGTGTTGGAGTCCCACATCGGCTAGACTTGGACCATTTCTCCTATATATATGTTGGAACCTCCCCTTTCTCCTCAATGGCTCTTTTGGAGAGTGATCTGGGGATTCCACATATTCTAACATGGTATTAGGGCCAAGGGCTGCCACTCTAGGGACTAGACCCCTCTCGACACTCTGGAACAATTTGTCTCCATCTAGCTTCTGTTAAGGGGGGCGTGTTGGAGTCCCACATCGGCTAGACTTGGACCATTTCTCCTGTATATATGTTGGAACCTCTCATTTCTCCTTAAAGGGGCTCTTTTGGAGAGTGATCTAGGGGCTCCACATATTCTCACAAATTGGAATGGTAACAGTTGAAAATGGGTAATAGTTCAAATGGGAGAGTTCAACCTAAGAATCTGATGATTGCAAAGAAATATGTTCCATTAACTTTGACTGGACAATGTGGGGTTCTTGTTGCTCAGTTATACTTAATGTTCTTCTGTTTTATAAGTTTGCCATCGTCTTTTTTGAACCCACTGTGCTCTGGTGCAGTGTTTGGTGTTATTATTCTTATGAGGTATATTTTATTCTTATGGTTTCTAAAGAATATGGCTCACTTGTCCAAGATATTGTTATCGAAGCTTAAAGAGTAGAAGGACATGATCTCACTACAACAATAGTGGGTTTATAGGAAGCCAAAAATGTCTTAAATGTTCTAATTGATTGATTTAAAGGACTAAAGTTTAAAGGACCAAATAATTGTGCGTCCTGTGTAAATGTGCTACAATAAGTTTATAGGACGCTTTTGAACTTCTTAAGAAGTTCTTTTAGAACACATCTGGAATAAAGTGTCATATTAAGTTTTTTATAGGACAATTTTGAGAAGTATTCTTTGAACACATCTTTTTATAGGAGACTTGTTTTTATAAAACTTTTTTTCAAAAAATGTCATAAAAAAGTTAATAAACACCTTATCTTTTTCAAATTTGTCCTGAAAAACTTGTTAAGACGCCCAAAAATGTGGTAACACCTTTACATATGATGCACAATTGTTTGGTCTTACAAACAGAAGTCCTATAAAACAGTCTATTAGGAATTTAGACATTTTTGGCTTCCTATAAACCTGATTTTGTTGTAGAGTTTTGTGCGTGATATTTAGGGTCCACCGGGTTGAACTAACCATCTTGTACTTTTTGTTGTAGAAACAAAAAACTGGGGGGAGAACTAAAGTTCTACTTGAGACCGTTCCTGTGCACAAACTGGCCGATATATTTGTTGCTAGCTTTGAGATTAGCTTTGAAGAGCAGCTGTCTATGTTAGACTCTGTTGATGTCAAAGTAAGGCTTTCAAAAGCCACAGAATTAGTTGATAGGCATTTACAGGTAAACTGATATAATAATTGATGGGATGCACAGTCAATTGAATTATCATTTTTTGTTTAGAAAGCTCAGAATGATCAGTCATATGATTACATTGTTAATTGCACCAGTCTATTCGCGTGGCAGAGAAGATTACGCAGAAGGTCGAAGGACAGTTGTCGAAATCACAGAAGGAATATCTTCTACGTCAGCAGGTATGTTTCCTCATATAAACTAGGAATTATTTCAGGGGAAATTGACAGAATTAGCCAATCAGCAAATAGGGTTTCAGTTTTTAGTTTCTGACCCAAATTCACTTTTTAGCCAATCCTTACGCAGAAGGCTTACACATATGCGTAAGGATTGGTTTTCAGCAAAAAAAAAGAATCCTTACGTAGATACCTTACGCTTATGCGTAAGGATTCCACTATAATCTGGTATATGATGGAATCCTTACGCATATGCGTAAGGATTCTTTTCTTTTTTTGCTGAACACCAATCCTTAGGCATATGCGTAAGCCTTCTACTTAAGGATTAGCTAAAAAGTGAGTTTGGGTCAGAAAATGACTAAAAAGTGAAACCACCTTTCAGCTTTGGCTATTTATGTAAATTTCCCTTATTTCAGTGGTACTAAAAAGGAGTCATGGGATAAAGAGATTTTCAGCATCATATTTATATACTCCCTCCATCCCGAAATAAGTGTCCATATTTCTATTTTAGTTTGTCCCAAAATAAATGTCCACTTCTAGAAGTAAGTGGCTACTTTCCAATTCTAACCTTTGTTATGAGATGGAGAAATTCATTACTCTCTCTATTATTAAGGGTAAAATTGTCATATAGTTAATTAATAGGAGTAATAGTTACACATTCTGAAACTGTGGACATTTATTTTTGATGAAAAATTGTTTCTGGACTTTATATGTATGCCTGTTTCCTTTCTCATTGTACTTCTTGAATCTAAACCAGATGAGGGCTATTAAAGAAGAGCTTGGTGACAATGATGATGAAGATGATGATGTTGCTGCCCTTGAAAGAAAGATGCAAGATGCTGGAATGCCTCCAAATATCTGGAAGCATGCTCAAAGGGAATTAAGGTGTCTTTTCTGTGAACTCTTGATAAGTATATATCTTGTTGTTTTTAGATGAAAATTCATTATGTTGCGCTATATATATACATATATATATATATGTATATATATATATATATATATATATATAAGAGGGGATCTCCATGACTCCACCCTTGGATCAATCCTAATTGAAGATCAATAGTAATGAGATGCACCGGATCAATATCCATGAGAAGGGCAATTCATGGGATGGGGGTGAGATTAAAAGTGATCAAGGGTCCAGATCCTTTTTATGTTTCTCACCTTAACTCCTATTCTCACACGATCCTTCGCCTATATATATATACATATATATATATATATTGTACTAACTTATATTTATTATCATATTCAGTAGCTATGATCAAAATTCTGCGGCTAATTTCTTAACCTCAAAATGGAATGCTCTTTTAGGAGACTAAAAAAGATGCAACCTCAGCAACCTGGGTACAATAGCTCTCGTGTTTATCTTGAGATTCTTGCCGATTTGCCATGGCAGACAACCAGCGAAGAAGTTGAGTTGGACCTAAAAGCAGCAAAAGAGCGGCTTGACAGTGACCACTACGGCTTAGTGAAAGTCAAACAGAGGATTATCGAATATCTAGCAGTTCGCAAGGTTGATTCACTATTTACTAGATTCTTAGTGTAATGATATTTTTTGGTAACCATTCTGTCTGGATCAGCTTGTGCACACCTCAAATAATCCCATGGGGCCTGAAGATAACAGTTTGGAAAATTCTCAGTGGCCCCAAGGGCAGACCCACATGAATAGCTACAGTGGCACACTGGCATGGGCCACCCTTTCATGGTTCCGTCGTAAGAGAGAAAATTACGTTTATAAGGGTGCCACCTAATTGTTTTGTTGGGTGCTACCATAAAGGTTCTTGAAACTGAAACATTAACACAAGACTTTAATGGTTAAGATGGTAAATGCTCTTGGTTTTGTATAAAAGACCCAGGTTCGAGTGCCAAATTTGTCAAAAATTTGTTGTTTTTTAGCTTAAATTTTGGTGTTTTTATATACCTCTTGCATTTTTAAAACTACATGTAGACCGGACTCGAACATGGGTCCTTTCTATGTAAGGAAAAGAAACCAACTAACAAATCTATGATAATATAGTGAAAGAAAAATAAATAGTTTTTTATAGTCAAATTGTGCCACCACTTGAAGGAAAAAAATTGGGTCCGTCTCTGAGTGGCCCTGAGGAGACTCAAACCGGTGGCCTATGGGGAGGAGCCCCAAGGCCTAGCCTTTATTTTTCAGTTTAGTTTGCCCTCAGTGCTTTGATGATTGGAAGTAACTCAAATCTCAAATTACAGCTGAAACCAGATGCCAAAAGCCCGATATTGTGCTTTGTTGGCCCACCGGGTGTTGGGAAAACATCTTTGGCATCATCTATTGCTGCTGCTCTGGGTAGGAAGTTCATACGGATATCCCTTGGTGGTGTGAAGGATGAGGCTGACATTAGAGGGCATAGGAGGACATACATTGGAAGCATGCCAGGGCGCCTCATCGATGGATTGAAGGTGAGTCTGGATTTTAAATATGGGTTTCTTTTGCTTCAAAAATTTTACTTTTATGTGCTGTAAATTGACGTGAAATTTGCCAAGGTTCATGTTACCATGAGTTTTTTGGTAACCATGGGTGTCCGGGCCCACTTGCACGCCCCTCGAGTATTCCCATAGGGCCCTAGAGATAGCACCCAGGAATGGGGTTGTTGGAGTGAGTGAGGTTGGTTGACTGCATGTTGTTACATAACTAGTCATCTTTCTTCCAATCACATATGGTGATTTAAGTGATATTTGTTATTTATTTCTTTATTCTTTTTTTACTTTCGTATTTTTGGCTTCAGAAAGTAGCTGTTTGCAACCCTGTTATGTTGCTGGACGAGATTGATAAGACAGGATCAGACGTCCGTGGGGACCCTGCTTCAGCACTGCTCGAGGTTCTTGATCCTGAACAAAACAAATCTTTCAATGATCAGTATCCTATTCTTCTGTGCAAAAGCTTCAATAATCATATGCTTCGACTCTATGACATAATCTTCCATTTAAATACATGATTTGTCAATTGAAGCCTTCAAATAATTTGACTATCCCATTTCATTAAAATCAAGGGGTTGTTTGGCAGTTGCTGAATGGTTTGATGCAGAATGGTTGAGTGGTCAGAATGCTTAAGAGGCTATGTATGATATAGTGCAGAATGAAATATGGTTGTTCCTTTCGATCCATCAAAAGTGACATGATGTTCCATACATAATTCCTTAATTCATACCCTCAAGCTATTTGAATGTTCCTTTTGATCTATCAAAAGTGATTTTTGTGGCCACTGCAAATAGGGCGCAGCCGATTCCTCCGCCCCTCTTAGACAGAATGGAAGTCATTGAGCTTCCTGGATACACATCTGAAGAGAAGCTCAGAATAGCAATGCGCCATCTAATTCCACGTGTCCTGAATCAGCATGGCTTGAATTCTGATTTCCTTAAATTTCCCGAGGTATGCAATTATTTGAGTTTGTTTTCCAATCGAGTTATTTTATGTACTCATCCTACATAGATAGAAAAGTAGATTTGTGAGCTCCTTATAAGCTCAAAGTTGTGGGCTACAAATAACTGCCACCATGGTTTTAAGTTGATTTGGAGGTTATTGGGTCGGTCTGCTTTGAGCTGTAGGGCATTACAAATGGTATCAAAGCCGATCCTCCTACCATCAGGATTGGAGACAGCCAAAATGGGCCCGACCGGCCTGGGACCGAATTTTTAAAAAAATAAGTTCTTATAAATTATATATCAAGTTTTTCAAGATTTCAACAAGATTTTCAAGTTCTTTTACCAAAAACTTCAAGTTTATTTTAAGTTTTTCCAAGTTCTTTTGGAAGTTTTTCAAGTTCTTTAAAGTGTTTCAATACTAAATTTCAAAAATCATAATTGTGAAAACATGTACAATATTTTTTTGTAAAAAAGATATAAAAAGAAATATTTAAGGTGTACCTAAATGATGCTGTTAGAGATTTTAAAGTGTATTTCAGTAAGATATTGTCCAAAAAACTCATCAAGCAAGATCTTTTATATGTTCAAAATTTGGAAAAAGAAGGCTTGGGACCAATTTGGGTCCAGCCGAGACTGAGACCGGTTATGGTTAAAGGAGACCGGGCCATGGGTTTTTGGTCGGGACCGGTTACGCCGGGATCGGTTCCGAAAATGAAATTAAGGACCGGGACCGTTTTTGGCCATCTCTAATCGGGATTGTGGGACAAACCTGATCAAGCATGATGAGTCCCTAAGGAGGAGGGGGTGTTTGTAACATCCACAACCCGTCCCGCATGGATAAGATTTGTGAGAGCTCAAAGTTGTAGGCTACTAATAATTTCCACCATGGTTTTAAGTTGATTTGGAGGTTATTGGGTCATTCTGCTGCTTTGGGCTATGGGGTGTTACATAACCGGTGGTTCTTTTGTTTCCATTACGAGTGGTTGACACTGGCTTATGCATCTTTTTTATGGTAGGCCATGGTTAAACTTGTTATTGAACGGTACACTAGAGAAGCCGGTGTGAGGAACCTCGAGAGAAACCTTGCCGCCTTAGCTCGTGCAGCAGCTGTAATAGTCGCAGAGCAGGAGCATAGTCTTCCAATTAACAAAGATATGCACCAGATTTCTTCACCGTTGTTGGAGAGTAGACTTGCCGAAGGAGGGGCTGAAGTAGAGATGGAAGTCATGCCAATGGATGTTAACAATCATGAAATATCAAATGTATTCAGGATCATGTCACCGTTGATTCTGGATGAAGATATGCTGGAAAAAGTACTAGGGGTAAGTCATTTACATATGTAGGATAAATAACATGCTTCTGAAGTTGGCAAGGTAGTTTTTTTTTGGTCACCGTGGGTGGCTAGCCAACTTGTGCACACCTTGACTAATCCAATGGGGCCCTAAAGATAACAGCCAGAAAAATCCTCAATCGCTAATATGGTTTTAAAAATGTTTTGAGGCATACGCCTCGAGGTGAGGCGGCCTATCTTGGACCTTGAACGAGGCGTGAGACGGTGTTGAGGCGTATGCCTCAGATGATTTGCTTTGATAATGGTTTTTTATAAGCTTTATGGCAACGGTAACACTTCTCTTAATAGTATAAGTGTCTTTTTTCTTTTACTTTTTTAAAAACTGAACGTCAAAGCTCAATGACCCAATGTGTACTATTTAATATTTTAAAACTTAAAAAACTAGTACTTTCTCCTCTCAATCAAAAAGTGTGGTTTAACCTCTCTTCCTCGAAGCAACCAATTTCTCCACACTCTCAGTCTATCTCACGGTTTCACTCTTCCTTCAATCAAGAACCATTGAACCAACACCCTTAGTAATTTGGTATTATATGTATGTATGTATATATATATAGGGTCTTGGGAAAACCTCAAAAAAAATGAAAAATTGAGGAACACTATGATAACCGTTCATCTGGACCGTATACACATGTGCATACAAGTAATTTGTAAGCAATTTGTCCGGTATGCAAAAGTGCATAACATGCACACGTGCATAAAACCAAAAAACAGCTTCAATTACTTATATGCACATGTGCATATGGTCCAGATAAACCCTTACTAGGTGTTCTTCAGTTTTTTTTTTTTCGAGGTTTTCCCCTGAACCTCCTTTTATATGTATATATATGTGTGTGTGTGTGTGTATGTGCATATATATATGTATATATTTGTTGGTATGTATACATATTTTGGTGTATATATATTTTCGCCTCTAGGCATATGCCTCGCCTCTTTGAGGAAAACGCCTCGAGGCCTGATTCTGCTTTTTAAAACCTTGGTCGCTTTGAGGAGACTCGAACGGGCAATCTATGGGGAGGAGCCCCAAGGCCTAGCCTTTATACAAAGGGATTAGGACATCTATTATTCTGTTGATATTGTTATCTACTTTTATGTTCTTCTGTTAGTATGACAATAGTACATTTTTTGGGAAGCCAAAAAGGGTCAAGCTGATATTGACTCCATTGGGTCTAACCCTATGTTTTCTTATCTCTAACCAAATCAAACAAACCCAGTATATCCTACCTGAGGTGCGGTTTGTTGAGGGTAAGATATAAGCAGACTTGACCTTAGAGCGGTTGTTTCTATGAAGAATATATTTGCTTATTTCAAACCAAACCAAACCAATATATCCCACCTGTGGAGGGTAAGATGTAAGCAGGCATGACCTCTACCGTTAAGAGTAGATAAGTTGTTTCCATGAAGATAGTATTTGCTTAATTCATTGTTCCTTACTGAATGCAGCCTCCAAAGTATGATGATAAAGAAGCGGCAGAGAGAGTTGTGACTCCTGGGGTTTCCGTTGGCCTAGTTTGGACCGCCTTTGGTGGAGAAGTCCAGTTTGTCGAAGCTACAGCAACTGCAGGAAAGGGGGATTTGCACCTCACCGGACAACTGGGTGATGTTATCAAAGAATCAGCACAGATAGCACTCACATGGGTACCTTTTCATGATATTTCTTTTGCTTGTTTTTGTGTTACTCCCTCGTTTCCAAAATAACTTTCCACATTTCTATTTTAGTTTGTCCCAAAATAAGTGTCTACTTTCAACAAGCAGTACCTACTTTCCTATTGTACCCTAATTATGAAGATGGAGAAATCCATTACTCCCTCTATTATTAAGGTTAAAATTGTCATTGAGTTAATTAAATGTGTAATATTTATACATTTCTTAAAGAAAAAGCGAGTGAATGCAAAAGCATCAAGTTGATCTTTAAAAGTTCAATTTTTTGCTCCGACACAGGTAAGAGCTAGGGCGACTGAACTTAATCTGGCTACTGAACAAGAAAGCAATCTGCTTGAAGGACGGGATGTTCATATACATTTTCCAGCTGGAGCCGTACCAAAAGATGGACCTTCAGCAGGTGTGACCCTTGTCACCTCACTAGTTTCGCTTTTCAGTCGGAGAAGGGTAAGAGCTGATACAGCAATGACAGGAGAGATGACATTGCGTGGTCTAGTTTTACCCGTAGGTGGTATCAAGGATAAGGTCAGTAATTACTTCCTCATACACACTAATAAAAAAGGGTTTTCGCCACCCTCTGGAGCTTTCCCACCACATTGGTCCCACGGTCATCATGGGGAATGTAAATCGTGCATGCATCCCATTGGCAGAGTAGCAGTTCTCTGGCTTGAACCTAGGACCTCACACATGGATTACATTACACCCACACCTCTACCTCTAAGACAGAGTCACAGACATATAAAAAGGGTATTCACCATCCTATGGAACGCCCCCACCGTAGTGGTCCCACGGTCATCATGGGGAGGTAAATTGCACATGCATCCCATTGGCAGAGGGGTGGTGCCAGGGTTTTGACCCAGGACCGTACAGATGGATTACACCCGCACCTCTACGAGTAGGATACTACACATAAAATATGGGTGTTCGCCACTCTCTGAAGAGCCCCACGACACTGGTCACACGGTAGTCATGGGGGAGATAAATTGTGCATGTATTCCATTGGCAGAGGGGCTACCTGGGCTTGAACCACGCCCTCACACATGGATTACACCCACACCTCTGCCACTAGGACAAATACACACACATACTCATACGAACATATTATCATATCTTATAGTATGAGCCTGCCACATTCTTCTCTAACTATATTCCGTTTTAACAGGTGTTGGCAGCACACCGCTACGGGCTTAAGAGGGTTATCCTGCCAGAGAGAAATTTGAAAGATTTGGTTGAAGTGCCTTCAGCTGTTCTTGGAAGTCTGGAGGTAAATACTATCCACAAACATGTTAAATTTCAGGAAAGTGACCATGATAATATGATGATATATGCAAATGATTAACTTCAAACCACTGTTCTTGAAAAAACACCAAAAAAGAACACTTCAGTTTGCAAAACCGTGTGAGTTCGAACAAATTTTGAAAAAAAGCGATGATGGTTGGTATTTTTCTTATCCGAAACCATAAAAAAGAAAAAAAAACTGGCTCTATTAGAGGACAATTGATACAGATACTATTGGAGTCTCACATCGGCTAAGTTTGGACCATTTTTCTTTCCATATATGTTGGAACCTCCCTTCTGACCTCAAAAGGCTCTTTTGGAGGGTGATTTTGGGGTTGTTTGGTTGGTTTTCCACGTCTTCCATAGATAAAGTTGTCTATATAGATTAATCTATCTGTATAGATTGAAAACACTGTTGTTTTGGGAGGGTTTTTTCTTGATGGAAGGATTGTGGCTTTTAATTGGGAAGGGTAGGTTTGGAAAAAAATTGACTTTCTGCATAACGTTCCCCCTAAAAGTTTGCTTAATAAGCCACTTTATATATCATTAAGACACTATCAAACAGTCATGTATAGATGATTAAATAAGTTGTGAGTCTCATTAAGCTCATTAAGTTGTTAACTAACAGACTCTTAATGGGGTCCCAGATATTCTCACAGATACAGTTTTGGTTTTGGGGTGCAAGGGATATAGATATTGTTGGAGTTTCACATCAGCCAAATTTGGACTATTTCTCTTCCATATATATTTGAATCTTCCTTCTCTCCTCAAAGGCTTTTTTGGAGAGTGGTATAATGAGGTCCCACATATTCTGATAGATACAGTTTTGGTTTGACATTTGTGATGGTTACAGATACTAGTGGCTAAGAGAATGGAAGATGTACTTGAACATGCTTTTGAAGGCGGTTGCCCGTGGAAGCATCGTTCCAAGTTATAAAGAGGATAAAAACCTAACGTTCAATCTAACAGAAAGCAAGCAACTTGGTTATCATTGGACTGCTACCACGGAGGCAAGGGATCCCGAGTCGAAATTAGAAATTATTTATCCTGATCCTGATATGTGTAAAAATCGTTTATATTTTAATCACAAAATGTTCAAATGTTGGTTTGGATTTTTCTTTTGGGTCTAGAGTAGAGCATTAGTTTTGCTACAAATCATGATATTTGAGAAAAAAAGTCGATTATCGGCAACCTTGAACGGTCTCACACGGAACCCGCCTCCTATGAACCATACATGAGGAGGCATTTCAGAGCGGAAGGGTTCATGCCCGTATCTCGCATGATTTGAACTTGAACATATTGTGTATTTGAGCAAAGTCATTTTGCACCCTTTGCCAGCTACGCTATTGGTCGGAAGGTTTGCTACAAATCATTGTAGGGTGTGTTTGGTATCCAGACATGACACATATATGAAACAGAAAAGTTGTTTAGCGTCTGATAAGACATGATAGATAAAACGATGAATTTACCCCCATTGAGTTATTTATATTTTGATTAAATTATGTAATTTATTAAATTAAAATAATTAAATATTTTAAAAAGAAATTATATCATTAGAAAATTTTCATTAAAACGATTAAAATGACACCAAAATAAAAAGTTCATGTAGTTTCAAAAAAATTTATACCTTTTGTATATTATTTTTTTTGTTATTAATATTTAATAACTTCATAAAATAACCAAAATATAGAAACCATATAAAAATAATATTTTGAGAACAATAAAGTAAGTTTAAAAAACGTGGAATACAATAAATAAAATTTAAAGAATGAAAAAAAATGTAAAGAAATATGAATCTTTATGTTTTAGAAGAAAATTAGGTTTTATTTTGAGATTATATAGGTAAGTACAAGTCTGATCTACCTTGTTCCACGGGATAGGGTTTGGAATATGCTTGTTCCATTCTATTCTACATAAAAGTCATCTGAAACGTGTAACAATGGTCTCTATTCCGTCTAATGTACCAAACACACACTTACATGAAAAGTACTAAGAATCACCCTGTACTTTGGTCTTACCAAAGTACACCCACTTTGGTCTTACTCTTTAGACCAAAGGGGGTGTACTTTTGTAAGAGCAATGGCAAAAACTAAGCCTTACCTGATACGGGAGCAAGACAACTCTTACCCGATTAACGCTTAACTGATAAATTATTACACACGATATCATTTTGATGGATTAGAATTTTATCCGGTAAAACAAACAAGAATATTGAATCTTACAGGTAAACACTTACCACATAAACAACAGGGTAAACGCCCCTGAGTTCTTACAAGAACCTGGATACCACCACTTCCGACAATAAAATAAAACCATATATTAATTCCTACTCTTACATGATCCTTCATGTGTGTAAGCAAAATGTTTTACATGGCATAAATACCAATAATCAAACTCATTAGAAAAAGCAAAACCAATCAAGAGGGTGAAAGTGAAACATCCCAAAACCAAACAAGTAAATCTCACACAGAAATAGGGTCAGGGTAATAAAATATACACAAACCTTACTTCTATCCAAGGGATAAAGAGATTGTTTCTGTAACGATCGAGATCCCAACTTGCCAGCAATGCACAAAAATCAACGAACAAAAAATTCCGAGTCCAGTCAGGTGTTTATACACGAAGAATTTTTTTCTCTTCAACAACAAAGTGAAAGAAAGAAAGAAAAACAAATGCTAAAGTGACCAAGACCCAAATCTGGATTAAGAAAACTTCGTCTTCGATAATGATACCAAGAAAGTATTCACAAGGCTCGGTTTTTCCGGCAAAGCCTGGATTTAATTTCATACGGGCACCCTTTTGCCACGATATCGATCAAAGAACTGTCCAAAGAAACAAAAACATTTACATGTCAATTAGTAAAGATGTCGAAAAAATAACTATAAAAGATAGCAATGGACATGTTAGAATTCAACAAAAGACCATCTATGGATTCCGAGATCTAAGTTGGTTCTGATCATACTTTATGCTCAGAAGTTCAACCAACTTTGAATGTTTAGGGTGCGTTTGGTGCGAGGACGGAATTAAACAGAATTAGACAGGCGAGAGAAGAAGTTGTCGGAGGTTTTAGGATTTTAATTTGACATGAGTAGTTTAGTAATTTACCTATCTCATCTATCTGCCTTATTTTTGTTCCACCTATTTTGGTGAGACATAAAAATGCATTTTTGTCAGACTCGGGGGCTGTTTGGTTGATTTTCCATTAAGTCCTGTATGGATAAAGACATTTGTGTCGATTAATCTACTTGTATAGATTGGAAAAAATTTTGTTTGGAAGAGTTCTTTCATGGATGAAAGGATAGTGTTTTTTAATTGGGAGGGGCAAGTTTGAAAAAAACTTGGTTTTTTGCATAAAGCTCCCCCTTAGAAGCTTACTGAATAAGCCATTTTCTACATCATTAAACCACTACCAGACAGTCATTTATAGCTGACCGAATAAGCTGTGAGTCTCATTAAGCTGCTAACAAACAATCCCTCTGGTTCTGTACTATCACAGTGTTCAACCACCCAGGGAGTCATGATTACGAACATGTCATAATTAAAACAATTTTTTAATAACAGAAAACATATTATTATCTTTTAACCCCAAAAGTTTGCTCATATTCTTTCCAAAAAAAAGTTGCTCATATTGGGACTCCATTAATTGGCTTAAAATCATAAAACCATATCAATAAAACCGGATGGACCGGCGACACAAAGGTAGGCAGGTGAAAGAATTATGCAGGGTTTTAGTGTTTTAATTTGACATAAGTAGTTTAATAATTTCCCAATCTTGTCTCATTTCGCTGCTTTTTGTTCCACCAATTTTGGGGGGACAAAAAAAAATGTATTTTGGTCCCATTCAGTCTTGTCATGTCTTAGTCTAAATATCGCACCAAATGTGGGACAACAAGTTTTTGTTTTGTCATTCCCGTCCTATCCTGTCCCGCTTACCAAACAAAGAAAGGGAGACACGTAACATCACATCAAAAGGCGATAAAATACCAACAAGGTGAATGGTAACAAGGGCGGGAGAAACTTACGGATCTAATATAAGGTTGTTGAAACACCCAACCAATAACAGGTATCTTCTGCACAAAAACCGCTAGCGTGGGCCAGAAGCCGCTGCAAAGAGTACCTTATAAGTAATCAAAAGTAAGGGGCCATTTACCAAATGCTTACTGACAAGAGTCACCACCCTCATTTACCTTATCGGGTAACATTCTCGGCAATCAAAATGGATTGTTGGTAAGCATCTCTTACCTAGTAAGCACTAAGGGTGCGGTTGGTATATAGACATGATAGAGCACTTGGTAAGACAAAACTGGACAAGACAGAACATATAAAATGATCAATTTACCCCTAATAAGTTGTTTATATATTTTGATTAATTTATGTAATTTATTAAATTATATAATAAAATACATATTTTTCATAACAAAATATATCATTAGAAAGTTTTTGTCAAGATCATTAAAATGACACCAAAATAAAAAGTTTATATAGTTTCCATATATTAATATTTAATAAATTACATAAATTAATCAAAATATATAGAGATTGTGTAAAAGTATTATTTGGAGATCAATAAAGTGAAAGTTTAAAGGATGAATAAAATGTAAAGAGGGAGATGTATTTGATGTTTTAGAAGAGAATTAAGTTCTATTTTGAAGTTATATTGGTAAAATATAGGTAATCTCCACCTAATTCCATGGGGTGGAGATGGAACAAGCCTGTTCCACTCTGTTCCACATAAAGTCCTACCAAACATACAACAGTGATCGTTGTTCTGTTCTGTCCTATCCAGTGTACCAAGCGCACCCTAACCGGGTAAGAGTCTTTTCCCTCACATAAGATTCTTGGTCCTTGCTATGCCTCTTACCGGTAAGATTCTCGGGCTATGCCATGCTCATCCATTAAGGTAAATGACGCTCGATAAGTGTTTGGTAAACAACCCATAAATCTATGTATAAAAGTAAGCATTTCATGATATCATATTAAACAAACCTGAATAGGATAATGAAACCATAAGCCTCTAATGCCATTCCTATTACAGGCCATCCAATGATAACAAAGAAGAAGCCAATACCAAAAGAAATTGTGCCCTGTCCAATCAATCAAGCAAAAGTTAAATGGAAATGCAAATGAAAACTGAAAGAATTAAAAAACACAAATAGAAATGGAGTCAAGATGGTAAGAAAGCAATGGAAACCTTGAAATTGCTGCGTTTCATGAAGAATTGCAAAGAGGATTTGACACCGATGGTCATTACCACTCCCGAGATGAATAGGATCTGGTTTAGTACAACAAGAAAATGGTGTTTACATTAATCGTCATCAACTCAACCTTGGCAATAAGCAAACATGGACACTGTTTTTTTGGAAGGGTGTCCCGGGCTATGCCCAAACTAATCACGGCAAATTGCGACTATAAGACATCAGTTCTGATAAACTCGGTAGATAAAATTGTTGTGGACGCCTGGAATTGAACCCAAGGCAGATGAGATATTTCACCACATCCCCCTGAGCCTCAACCACAACACCACAACCTTTGTGGTTAACATGAACAGTATTCTTGAAACCTTTTTTATGAAGGAAGGGAGGGAAACGAAAGGAAAGGAAAACAAAAGAAAGCGTGTTCTCGAAACTTTTAAGAGGGAAAAAAGATTACATGTTTCCTCCCAAATGTGGGAAGAAATGGATGGAAAGAAGTGAAAACCTTTGGACAGTTTAGTAAAATTTACAAAACTACCCGTCAATTTAACACCATCAAAACAAATGTAAAGAGAGTATTTGTGAAAATGACATCTTTCCTTTCCTTTCTCTCTCGTTCGAGAACACAAATAAAAATCTTTCTTTCCTTTCCATTTTCCCTCCTTTTCCTTTCTATTCCTTTCTCCCCAAATTCGAGAACATAGGGGAAGAGAGAAAAAGGGAGAAATCAGAAAATTGAGAAACTGAGAGATACTAACATTTCCAATGGCAAGTAACCCCTTGTCAAAGAAGAAGATAATGCCCAGAAACGAGAAAAAGACACCGAATCCGGTCAATCCCAGCCCAATCTCTGTTCCATTGAAGAACAAATAGTTTAACAGATGGATGTTAGGGGGCAAAATTCAATACAAGTGACAGAAGCTGATGCATGTCAAAACCATCTCTATGTGAAGCTTAAATAGTTGCTGTTGATTGATAATGTGAAGAAATTATGTGGAACCCCATTAAATTACTCTCCAAAAGAGCCCTTGAGGAGAGAAAAGAGGTTCCAAGAGGAAAAATGGTCCAAGTCTAGCTGATGTGGGACACTTAACAAGCCCCCTCCAACAGATGCTAGATAGGCACATATTGTCCTAGATTGTCAAGAGGGGGTTAAACGGGTGAGAGGGTTAGACAAGTAGAGACACAGTGTCGAGTACCTAGAGTGATAGACCTTGGCTCTAACATCATGCGAGAATATGTGGAACCCCATTAGCTTGCTCTCCAAAAAGATCCCTAGAGGAGGGAGGGAGGTTCCAACATATATAGAGGAGAAATGGTCCAAGTCTAGCCAAAAGGAACCTTAACAGAAATCTCTTATATTACGAAGCTAAACTCTCATTAGATTAATCTGCGCTACTGAAGCTAATCCCTCATTACTCGCACTATTTCTCTCACTGGTTCTTCCTTTTTATATTACGAAGTCAAGACATCTAATTTTGAAGGTCTGAGGTTATTGAATTTGAAATGTTTATCATTATTTTTTTTCATAAATCGGCATTCGTTTTTGTTTCATTTGTTTAGTTCGTTGCTGATTTGAGTTAAAAAGATTTAGGTTTTGCAGATCTTAATTGAGCCGAATTTTGGCCACTTAAAACCTAGATTGATAACTAAACTTCCCCAAATAATGAAACTTTCAGTTGGCTCTTCTGCCATTTATTTTAAGTTCAAATTCCTAAGATCACCATATACTGTAGCTTCAAATAACATATATTAGACAAATTGGTCATGGTCTCGGATGCAAACATACTTGAATCCTTTCTGTGAACCAAGGGACATTTTACCATCACACACAGGGTAAGATTATCGGTCATCACAAAACATAATATAAGCGTCTCTTACCTGGTAAGCACTAACTGCAGTTAGTGGCTGTTTGGTTGGTTTTCTATAAACTCCTGTATGAATAAAGTTGTCTATATGGATTAATCTTTGTGTATAGATTGGGAAGGGTTTTTGTTTGGGAGGGCTTTTTCATAGATGGAAGGAGAGTGTTTTTTGATTTGGGAGGAGCAGGTTTGGAAAAACTTAGGCTTTCTGCATAAAGCTCTCCTAGAAGCTTTCTAAATAAGTCACTTCCCATATCATTAAGCTACTATCAAACAGTCATATATAGCTGACTGAATAAGTTGTGAGTCTCATTAAGCTCATTGAGCTGCTAACAAACTAGCCCTAACCGGGTAAGAGTCACCACCTTTACTGAAGATTATCGGTTAGCAAAATAACACAATAAGATTGTTGGTAAAAGCCATCATATCCTATCGGCTAAGCAGTAAGCACCAGGTAACAGGCATCAAGTGTTTAGATAACCAGTAGCACACTAGTGTTAAAGTTCTAATACCACATGTACAGAGATCAATAAAACAAAAATGAAGTAAAGCAGTTGAAAGCTCACTTTTCCAGTCGTCCATCTCGAAGCCAACCATCGTGCGTATTCAGATGAAATCCTCCAGATGTCGAATCAAATTACCCTCGCAAACTGAACCACAATTACAATCAAGTTAATAAAAACCTGCAAAACTGGAAACAAAACCTACAAAAATGACAACTATTTTTCTCTTAAACCCCAACGACTTCAGGTCGATATCAATCTAGGTTTTTAACATCCCAAATTCGGTTCAAATTAAGATCTGGAAAACCTAAATCTCCTTCCCTCAAATCAGCAACCATCTAAACAAATTAAACAAAAACAAGATACAATAACACAAAATTGATAACCATTTCGAATGCAATAACCTCAGATCTTCAAAAGTAGATGCCTTAGCTTCGTGATATAAGAGATGAAAACGAACCTGTGAGAGAAACACCGCAAGCAATGAGAATTTAGCTTCAGTAGAGCAGGTCGATCTGATTATGGCGGAATTGTGTGTGTGTTTGGTGTGTGAAGATGGGGAGAAGGAGAATGAAGCATTTTTATTGTTCAGTTTCATGGTTCTTGCCAGTGAAGGAATCGATTGTCATTAGTGTGGTGATGTGTTTTTCTTGAAATTAAGGCATAATGGCAATTTCAGTCCCTGTACTTTTGAGCTTGGGATAACAAGGTGCTATAGTTTTAATATGGACATTTATGACCCTCGTTTTTTTATTAATTGTCAATTAAGTCATCTAACCAAGTTCTCGTCTTTTCATCCGTTCGAAAGTTTTACTAGAATGAAATAAAAGAATGTAAAACGGTGTTCAATAGAAATTTAGAAAGATACAAAGAGTCGAATATACCTTTTTCCTGATGTGTAGGGGTCAATTGACTGAACTGAACTTGAAATATTTGTTTTGCTAACTATGATCAAGACAATTCTCGTGAAAGTATTTCATAGAAGTGAATTGAGTCTCACGTACGGTTTCGTTGAGAAGGTGGTGATACCCACCTGTTAGGCCCGATGAGCAGTTTACGCAGTTGCATCCCTAGAACTAAGACGGGCTCAAAATGCATTTGGTTCTTTCTTTTCAATAAGTCTTGATCTCAAGAGAAACATGACGATCATTCAACCGGCCATCCCCATGGTGGCAACTGGTATGGGTCAACGAGATAGGCTTAGTTTCCTAATGCTTACCAAAGTCATTAGTATACGATCATAGACATGCACGTTTGTCAAGTTTAGAGGGAACGAGAGAGAATGGTGCTGGAAGTTTGATGGTCGAATGTTTTTTTTTTTTCTTCAATTTATGTATGCTTCTATATTGATTTATTATTTGAATACATGTCTATGGTTGTAATTATGGTTTTTATGGTTTAGTACTGTAATTACATGCCATATATGAAAACGCATTCAATTATGAACCACTGTCACTATGAGCAGTGGTGGTTCACGTTAGAGAAGCTTAAAACGAAACTAAAGATTTTTGGTATATTATGATATATCAGTTTTATGTTGTTTTATGGATTAAAAAAAGTTACATGTGGAATCAGGCAAAAAGAACGGGCTAAAACGATGTAAATATGGTATGCTTTTACCTTCAAAAGCTTGATTTTTCGTTAGGTATCGAGTTGAGTTGATTAGCATTTGTCTTTGTGACTGAATTGATGTTGGAACAGGATAGCTTTCCTTGTTGGTTAAAATCTTACTTGGAATTTGATATTTATGATACACATTATTTTAAAGGTTTCCAAATAAGGTTATATCTTTGCGTTTGAGAATCTAGGGAGTGTTTGGTTAGAGGTATTAGACAGTAATCAATGGGAATGAAAATAAAAGAAACTGTTTGGTTTTATCTAATATAATAGGCTCATTCCCCCAAGAAGCCCAAATTTTGATTCCAGGTTAAACTGGAGGGGAATGGAAGTACATTTTCATTTTCATTCTCTATCATTTTCATTTTCATTCCTCTGACTGAACAAAACATCCCCTTAGTTTGATCACCAAATTAAGAGCACCTCTAACAGAGTGACTTAGGGCATCCATACTTGGGATTCTTGTGAGCTTCGTAAACTTTTTCACCGTCAATTATTATTATTATTATTGTATTTTTTTAAATCTGTTAAAAACTAATGAAAATAAAATCTTATACGACTTATAGAAACTACATATTTTACTTATGAGAACCTACCATCGAAGATGTTTTGTTTATTCAAATTGTTTTTGTCCCATGTAATTCGTAAAATGCATCTTTGGTTACTATTTCAATTATCTAATGTTATATACACCGCTTTTATATCAAACTTAGATTAAATCATGCATAAGAAATGTGAAAAATAAAACGTAACGGTGCTTTTAACAATACATATGGTGCATTTAGCACTTAAATAATGTTTGGTACGCAGACATGACTGGATAGAACAAAATTTATTGTAATTGGTGAAACTGTGTTTGGCCATTGTTTTGCGATTTTCTCGCATTTTACAATGTGAACTTAATTTTGTGAAAAGTATATATCTTTTTTCACTGAAAGAACGTTTTAAATATGTATTTTAAAATATTATTACAAATCAATCTTATGAAATCATGTAAGATGGAAAATACTGACTATTACTTGTAATTTCTAATCAATTGTTTGTAACAGTTTCATTGAAATCACAGGATTTCAATTTTTTTTATTAACCTGGATATCCAATCCGTTATACGAGCCGACAAATCCAGGGCAACCACCTGCTTTGCAGATAGCCCGGAGTTACCGCATTTGAACCTCCGTGGCCACAAGAAGATTTTTATTCCTTCTTGGATTTGAACCTCTGACCTCCGGACACTTTTGACATTTGGAGTCAAGTTCAAACCAATCAAGCACCACCCTTGTGGTTAGAATTTCAATTATGCTCTTCTCTTTAAAACAAAAATAAGACTGGAATAAGATCCAATTATAAATCATATTGAACCTTGCAAACCAAACAGAATTAAAGAACGTGGTAAGTTGTTTGTTTACCTTTTAATAGTTCCATTAAGATAGAGTCTCTGAATCACTAAGAGGTGAACCTTGTTTGATAAAAAAAAAATCTCTCTCTTAATGATTCTAAAACCCTATCAATGATTTTGAATTTTTGATCAACCTTAACCATTCAACACTCTAATTTTATTCTGAATAATTACCGAACGATTATATTTCATTTTGCACTATATTATAAGAGTCTTTTAATCATTCTACACCAAACTATTCAGCAACTGCCAAACACACCCTAATATAACATAACTTCAATAATCTTCATTATAGTAAGAAAAACAGTAAAAAAAAGAGTAATTTTTTATTAGAAAGTCGAGTGACAATCAGGAAGATATTCGAATGTACCACAATATATAAACCTTCAAACCCTAGGAGTCGATGATCCGTTACAGTTGTAGTTAGTCGATGGTTCGATAGAAGCGATGGATATCAGTTCCGATCTCAACTCTTCCATGGTTTTCATTTGTCCATTGGTCACGTTAACCTCTTTTATGCCATTTGCATTTTCGGTCTCGGGTAAATAATCGATATCTTCAAGAACACCGTAAGAAATGGCGATGAGAGATTCCCTCGCAGCTTCTTCTGTAACGAGATGTCTATAATCCATATAACGTTGAACGTTTCTTCTGTAGATTACAAAAATAGACCGCATTAGAAAATTTAGTTGATTGGGTCTTATTCATGGGTGTCTCGAAAGCAAACTCTTGTCTTTTCAGATAGAAATAAACGTATATATCCCACCCCCAGACGTTACCTATTGAATTTGATTGATTTGGTTTTGTTTTTATGTGGAACCAATAATTTTGAAATGAAAAGATACCAAAATATGATAAGGTTATCAAAAATGCTATGAATTATTTTAAAATAAAAATTGACGAAAAAGAACACATAATTTTAGAAATATAAAATTATTTCATTTTTAATTAATTAATACTTAATTTACTAAACGTTTATTAGATAAACATTTACCAACAAAAGTCAAGGGTGACAATGTCGGTAACAACTTCAGTCATCAAAATGGATTATTGGTTATGATTATCAGTACTTGCTATGCCTCTTACCGAGTAAGCTTTTTGGTTCTTATCATGTTCACCCCTTAAATGCTTACCCGATAAATGTTTGATAAAGACCCATAAATAACAATTTTGGCCGATATAATTGACAAAAAAAAAAGGTAAAGGGAATTGTCCAAAATCGCCATTCTAGGCTCCTAAAGAACATTTTACAACGATTTTTTTTACCTGATTGACCAAAATAGACAAGATTCTGCAAATAGCATTTTCACAATTTTAACTATTTGTGTTGTCTTCTTTTTGTGAATTTCATATCTACAAAATAACCTTTTAACATTGGCCTTATCAAAGCTTTGAACTCTTAGAATGTTAGGGGTTCAAGTTTTATCAAGGTGACGAGTGTATGTGAGTTTATTTATCGTATTACTGGATATAAATATTATATACTTAAAAAAATAACAGTTTACAAGTTGCTAAAATGTTAATTACGAAATGCTAGACATGACAAATAACACTTCAACAAGTTAAAGCATGAAATCACTACTCTATGAATATTAGATTCATAAAAACAAGAGTTCATAAAGAGTTAGATTGCTACTTGCAAAATCTTAATTATTTTGGTCAATTACGTGAAAAAAACAATTAGTTTGGACAAATTCCCAAAAAGTAAACATTTACTTTGAAAATCGACATTTTACATAGCAACAAACTGAAGAGATACGAAAGGTTTTGAGCAACAAAAACGTCTAAATCCTGAAACCAGATCCAACAAACCACTTCAATTGCAAATGATATGAACAAATAAAACACCAGCAATTCAATTCAATACTCACACCGAATCAAACACTTTTTCCGGCAACTCTAAACCAAATAATTTCTAGAAAACCAGAAACGAAAACACGATCAAATGGATTCAATACTCATACCGAATCAAAAACTTATCTCGCAACTCTAAAACAAAAACAGAGATCGAATGATTTCCACACAGTTTCAGCTCCGTAACACCGAAATGAGTAATTTACATCAAACAGATTCCGCAATTTCTCGTAGAGAAACGAACGAATCTAAGGATTATGATTAAGAAAACTAAAAAACCAGAAGAATCGTATACAGATTGAAGAAGAACGTACCTGAAGTCGCTGGTTGAGGATGAAAAGTGGAGGTGGTATGTTGATGTTTAATGGCGGATGGCGGTAGGGTACTTAAAGGCGGTGGAGTTGTATTATTGTGGGATTCGTACACCGTATACCAACGTGGAATCGAGTAGGATCCTATCAATCGGTTTTTGGATTACTCCTATTACTTTTTTGACTTCTTTTTATTATTTATTTCAAAATTTCGCCGCCTTAGATTTCTTATTTTATTATATAATTTAAATTTAAATTTAAATTTAAATACTTATTGATAAACTAGAACGGTGTATGTATAATGCAACGAAATACATCTTGATTTTAATATTTTATTTTATTATGTTTTTCACAGTTGATGTTATAATACGGTTTTATGTGGTTTTGACTTTTGAAAAAACGATAATGTTTTTATTTTTAAATAAATTATAAATATGAAGATCTATAATAAAAAGGTGAAAGATATTGATATTAGTACCGAACTAACTATTTAAAATTTCTCATCTTTTGTGTATTTCTTTAATTCATTTTTTATTTTTGGTTTAATAATATAATTTTTTTATAAAGATAATAATTAAGTATTTTGTTACAACTAAATGAGTATCTTAATTATATTTTAGATTTTCTATATTTAAAATAAGATGTTTATCTTTTATTTGATTATGTTTATGTGCAATTAGTTACACGAATCTATCATGAAGCTTTAAGAAGTTGTATTTACATACAATTTACTTATGATCTTAAATTTTAAGTAATATGTATCAATAAACGGTACTTCTTGAATAAAAAATGGTTTTTAAGAGTTTTTGTGAAATGTTTTGTAATGTAGTATGGATAATAAGAGCATCTTTAATGGAGGTTTTATACAGACACAGACACACATACAGAATTAGGGGTTATTTGTTATGGATAACAAGAGCACCTTTAATGGAGGTCTTATATATTAATTAATTAATATTTATTTCAATTTTATGTTTTTATTGCACTTTCTAACCGTCGTTTTGAATAGTAATATTTGTAAAATCAATAAACATCTGTCAATATTATTCTGAAAATTTAATGAAACTGTTCGAAAACGTCTATTGTTAAACTAGAAAGAATTAGGGGTTATTTGTTTGTCTTTTAATATTAAAAGACAGTTTCCGAGTCATAAAAGGTGAATCTCGTTTGTCATTTAAAACAGTTATCAAACAACTATATTTCATTTTGCATCATAGCATACATAATCTTTTAATCATTCTGTATCAAACCATTCAACAATTATCAAACAATTATTTAATTGAAAGTTTAACATAAACAAATATCTTGATGTGATTTCGGAACATGTAAATCACAAACTTTAACACCCAATATCAGTTTATCATGATTAGGGGTGAGCATAGGCGGGTACCTCCCCTATTTAACAGGAACCAGAACCGAAACCAGTAGTTCTTGAGATATTGGAACCGGAACCGGTTAGAGCGGTTCTTGAATGTTTGAAACCGGAACCGCCGGGAATCAGTTCCGGTTTCGGGTACCCGCTTCCTAAAATGCTAAAATTTTGTTATTTAGAAATAAAAAATAAAAATTGCCAAAATACTAAATAAATAAACAAGAATACAAATTATATGGAATAATTGTTACAAATATTATTTAACGATTACAAACCATAATAGAGTAATAGTAAATGTTGAAAGTTTAACGATTACATATTATAATTGTAAATGTTCAAAGTTTAACGATTACATACTACAAATCCAATTAAACACACAATTTGGAAAAATACGAATCATTTTATCTCGAATTATGAATTTGGTTTCAACTTCTTGCATATCCATCGCATCCTCAACCTCGTAAGGTACCTGTGAATAATTAAGTGTTAAAAAACTACACAAACTCGTAAAAAACTGCACATATTTTTAACTAAAAACTGCACATATTTTTAAACAAAAAACTACACAAATTTTATATAAGAAAACTGCACAAACTTTGTATAAAAAACTACATATATTTTTAAAATAAAACTACACAAATTACATTAAAAAAAAACTGCCCAAATTATATTAAAAAAATTAGCTATTATTTTTTAATTGAAAAATATCGGGTACCCGCCGGTTTCGGTTCAAGGTCTCGACGGGTAACGGTTCCGAAAAATCGAGAACCGGAACCACTCATATCGGTTCCGGTTCTGGAACCGACAGTTCCAAGGTAGCTTCAGTTCCGCAAGTAAGTACCCGGTTCCGCTGCTCAACCCTAATCATGATCGTTTAGTGAGACTAATACCGAGATTAAAGAAATATGTCGGTCTCTTTTTTATCCCACTAATCATGTAAAAACCAAAATCATTATTTTTATTTAATATAAGTTTATTTATATCTATGTTTTTCTTTCTTTTTTTTCAATAAAAATAATAATGTATTTTTAAGTGATTGGTGAATAGGTGCAACACATTTTTTGTACAAACATGATTGAATTTTGTCCCAAATTTCATGTCCCTTCCATGTCTCACAAAAAATAGCATATCTTAAAGTACACTTTAGAAACTCATTTTAATTCAAAACAAATTTAATTTTGGTACATGTTTTTGTTTTAATTGGTTGAAAATTCAATAATAAAAGAGTAGTAAAACTAAGGGAAAATTGCATCAAAATGGAACCAACTTTCACCTAATTCATATTTTAGGGAATCAACTTTCAAAATCGTCATTTTGCGGAACCAACTTACACCTGATTCCTATTTTGGGGAACCAACTTGCACCTGATTCCTATTTTGGGGAACCAACTTTCAAAATCGTCATTTTGGGGAACCAACTTGCACCTGATTCCTATTTTGGGGAACCAACTTGCACCTGATTCCTATTTTGGGGAACCAACTTGCAAAATAATTATAGAAAAATAACAAAAATTCGTTTTTTTTTTCCAAAAATTAATACAATAAAATCTATTTTTCATTTCAAATATCGTTTTTTTAATTCAGATATCAAATTCAACATTTAAAAAAAATCCAAATTACCACAATAAAAATTGTTTTTTACAGTTTACTAATGCAAAAAAAATGAATTTAATAGAAAAAAATTAATTGATGCAATTGGTTAGATATAAAAATCTTGAATGTGATATTAAATATTTATTTTTTATTGTATCAATTAATTTTTTTGCATTAGTAAAAAACATTTTTTATTGTGATAATTTGGATTTTAAAAAAAAAAATATTCAATTTGATATTTGAATTAAAAAAATGAGTTTTTAAATGAAAAATAGATTTTATTGCATTAATTTTTGGAAAAAAATGAATTTTAGTTATTTTTCTATAATTATTTTGCAAGTTGGCTCCCCAAAATAGGAATCAGGTGCAAGTTGGTTCCCCAAAATAATGATTTTGAAAGTTGGTTCCCTAAAATAGGAATCAAGTGCAAGTTGGTTCCCCAAAATAACGATTTTGAAAGTTGGTTCCCCAAAATAGGAATCAGGTGCAAGTTGGTTCCCCAAAATAACGATTTTGAAAGTTGGTTCCCCAAAATAGGAATTAGGTGAAAGTTGGTTTCATTTTGGTGCAATTTTCCCTAAAACTAAATACTAAATTAAGGGGGGTGTTCGATTGTGGTTTAATGGCTGCATAGCCTGTATGGCTTAAACGACTGTTCGGTTGTGGCTTAATACTACAGCTAGGTGCTTATTCGCATAGCTAAGGTAGATCTGTCCTTAGCACTCAATCATAGTTATTCCAGAAATGTCCCTTGTCATATTAAATCGACACATACGCCTCCACAAGGAAAACCTATAAGATCTATGATATGAGCTCTCTCACAGTAGGTCGTCGCCTCCTCCCCCATCGTAGGTCAGCTAGCTCAACCTCCTCCATCGTTCGTTATCTCCTCCTCCTCCTCCTGTCGCCAGTCGTCACCTCTTCCCCTATCGCCAGTCATCGCCCCCCCCCCCAACAAATTGTATATGTTCTTTATCTTTTTCACTCATTGTTGTTTTCAAATAAATATTAAGAGGTTTAAGTATGATTTTAGTGGGTTTCTTCCAGGTCACCGTAACTCCTCTTCTCCCTTTTGCAAACACCAGTAGTCCCAAAAAATAGGGAAGAAAAACAAGCCAGTTGTCAAGAACAAAAACCCAAGTTGTCAAAAATCCTAATAAAACAAAAGAACCAGTTGCTTTTTCATTAGGTTTCAAGAATTTTGACGTTGGAAAGGGTTCTGATAGGTTGTTTTGAATTCTTCAATAATTTTGTTTTCTTCAAGCCTAAGTCAATAATTTTATAACTTTTATAATTCAAAATTCATTTACTCAACATTTTTATCATATAGACTGCGGGTAAAATGGTTATTTCTGACATTCAAACAGTTTATTCAGCACGGCAATCGAACAACAACTTATTTGTTATGATACAGACATCTTTATCTATACAGTTCGTAATAGAATACAAACCGAACAATCTCTAAGTGGGCTAGTATAATTAGAAAATATATGAAAATGACATAATTTAACGCCAACCGGTTAGAGATAATTAATGTTATTTTAACGAATTGTGTAAATTTAAGTGCTAAAATCTAATACTGTTACTATATTTAACGTTTTCGGTTAGACACATTCATTGGATCAACAAGTGGTGTCTATTTTCATGATGTTTTAACATGCCCATTGGATATTTGATATATTTTATATTTTTGTCCACCCATCAACTTGTAATTGATAGCTCTCATATCAATAATTACTATATATAAAGATCGGGATGACCCGTCCTCTCACTCTCAGTGGCAGGTAGAGACGTGCATCCCGATCCCCCCTAAAAAGGGTACCTATATCTGAAACCGACACAAGTGGGTAGGTTCTTTGCTTTGTATTTAATTAAACCACATGTTTCACCGCTTGTGCGGGTCCCTGCCAATTCCTTTGAGTTTCATTGTTTGTCGGTTTCGGGAATATCCCCATTCATAGGTCAGAGATATCACCGCTTATGTTGGGATCCTCATCCTTTGTCAAGAGAGACGAATTGAGGGGAAAAAATTAAACAAGAACACAAAATAATAAACATGATATTAAATATATTAGTACTAGAAAGGTTATGGGTTCGATCCCAAACCCTCTTGCTACCATCAGCACTTTGGTGAACCAAAAACTGCATACTCATATTGGTGTCCTTGAAGGCAGATTTCATATGGAGCCGATTAGAGTTGCTGGTAATCAACTTTTTGTCCAAATAAATATAATATTAAATAAATAAATACTAATTGTGAATAATGTAGTTTCATGGGTTTTCTTGGCAAAACCCAAATAGATTTCTGTTTTTCTTTTTCATTTTTTCTGTTGTTACCAAAAAAATAAAAATTGTCTGATTGGTTTGAACTTGGGATCCAAATGTCAAAAGTGTCCGGAGGTCCCAGGTTCGAATTCAATGAGTAATAAAAATCCCCTTGTTGCCATAGAGGTTCAAATGCGGCGACTCCAGGCTACCACGAAGCGGGTGGTCGCCCTAGAATTAATCGGCTAACAAAACGGGTTAAATATCTAGATTAATAAAAAAAAAAAAATATTGGAATCAATTAACTTAAAACGCTCTATTTTTTTTTATTGTGTCAAGACGATAGAGTGGGTGTTCGGGTACCTTGTAGTCTATGCCTAAATCCTCCCGCACTCGGGGTGAACCAGGTACCCACCAAGTACGAATCAAAGTACCATCCCTAGTTGATGGAGGAGATACAGGTGATCGTACTTCGGGCTCATTAGATTTCTCAATGAATGCAAAGAGTGTTCTTGCGAACAAGTTGGTGTGAAGGCACATGAGACGATGAACACGATGGATTTTTTTTTGGATTCAATGAGGTCGGAGATGGTAGTGGACTAGTGGTTTAGAATTCGTTGTTGGATTCAGATAAAGTGACATCGGGGACCTTGTTCACAACGGAGGTGATTGATCTATAATTGTTTAAACAAAAACATAGCGGAGTTACCAAATCTAAGGAGCCGTTTACTAAAGCTAGTGCTTACATGGTCACTTAGGGGCCGTTTACTAAATACTTACCCGGTAAGTTTGGATCGAGTAACTTTCCTCACCTGATGTACATGGCAAGGGCTAAAAATCTTACCCGGTAAGAGTGATTATAGAGATAGAGAGTCTTACCCGGTAAATGATGGTGAGGACTCTTACCCGGGTAAGCGTTTATAGGATAAATTGTTGCATACGATACCGTTTTAATATGCTACAATCTTATCTGGTCAAATAGATTATAGTGTTGACTCCTACCGGTAAGCACTTACCTGGTAAGTATTTGGGTAAACGGCTCCTTACTCACTTTACCTTATCGGATGAACATGACACGGATTGAATATCTTATCCGGTAAGAGCAATAACAAGAACCGAGAGTTACCTAGTAATGAGAGTAATGACTCCTTACCTGATAAGCGCTTACCGGATGGGTTGTTGCATACGATACCATTTTAATGGTCTAAAATCTTACCTAATAAGTTAAGCTAATGTTGACTTTTACCGGTAAGCATCGGTTAAACAACCCCTTAGGGGCAGTTTGACAAATGCTTACCGGATAAGTACTTGTTGGCAAAAGTCACCACCCTCACTAATCTTATTAGGTAACATTCTCTGCCACCAAAATGGATTGTTGGTAAGCCTCTCTTACCCCCGGGTAAGAGTCTCCTCCCACTTTATCATGTAAGATTTCCGGTCCTTGGAAAGCCTCTTACCGGGTAAGACTAACAGTCCTTGTCATACTCACCTAATAAGGTAACTGACATCCGGTAAACACTTACCTGATAAGCGTTTGGTAAATGGCCCCTAAGAGACTGTTTGGTTAATTTCCATCAAGTCCAGTATAGATGAAGTTGAATTATAGTTTGTTTGTTATGATGAATAAACAATATATATACGTCCACAAATATAAACACCGTGAATGTAGCATGTGTGCATAAGAGAAGCACCACGTATTAGTATATGCATGTGAAATAAAACTAAAAGAAACAGCAGGCAAGAATTTGAGCTCTAAACGAGTTGCACGAATCAACCTGATTAGAAATATTTCGAGGTGGGTGATCGAGCAAGGTTGAACTCAACGCCCTTCATCCCGCTTGAACTCCGGTGTTCGAGTTGGGCCTACAGAATTTGAGCTTGAGCTCGGTTCACATTGCAGCACTAGATGATTCCACAAAGTTCTGCAGCACAACGATAACATTTGGAAATCATAACCATCGTTAAACTGCATTCTCTTCTTTAACAAATAAGGAAAATCAGAGATGCAAACATAGAAGAAAGATGACAATTGGTTGGTTTTCGACTAGTTATAACTTCGAAAAGAAACCGATTTTATCTATTTTTTTTCTTTTTTTGATGGTGGTACCGAAACACTTTCTTATGAATAAATGTACAACAAAACTTAATATATCTAGTACCTAGAATTGAATAAACCGAAGCACACGATACCAGTATATCTCATCCAGGGGCGGACCCACTCTATACCATAAGGTGGCACGGGCCACTGCTTGGTTCCTCTGTCACAATGTAAAAAATTATAGGGTCGTGAAAGGTGCCACCGTATCATTTTGTTGTGTGCAATCGTATTTATTTTGAAACTACAATGATGACACAAATTTCACTTTGTAGAGTTGGTTTGCATGGCTCCCCCCCCCCCCCCCCGGGGGTGCGGGTTCAAATCTTTTTTGGGTCATTTTCTTCGTTTTTAGCTTTTAATTTCAGATTTATTATGTTTCTAAAAACAATTTCAATAAGAGACTTGAACACAAGACCACACATACAAAAAACAAGGAACTAACCAACTGACGAATGATGAGTTTGTGAAAAATTTCCATATCTTCAATTCTTATAGTCAAATGATGCCACCACTTGAAAAAATTCTTAGATCCGCTTTTGATCCCACCTAAAAATAGGTAAAGGGGGTGGGATGCACGGAAACTTGTCCTCTATCCGGAAGGGTAGAGAATATGCTTTCATAGAGACTGTTGGAGTCCCACATTGACTAGATTAAGGCTATTTCTCCTGTATATATATTGAAACCTTCTAAATCCTCAAGGGCTCTTTTGGAGAGTGATCTGGGGGTTCCACATATTCTCACATGGTATCAAAGCCAAGGTCTGTCACTCTAGGGACCCGACACTCTGGCTAACCCCCTCTCGATACTATAGGTCCATCTAGCCTCTATTGGAGGGAGCGTGTTGGAGTCCCACATCGACTAGACTTGGACAATTTCTCCAGTATATATGTTGGAACCTTTTATTTCTCCTCAAGGTTTCTTTTGGAGAGTGATATGGGGTTCCACATATTCTCACATGGTATCAAAGCCGAGGTCTGCCACTCTAGGGGCCCGACACTCCGGCTAACCCCTTCTCGATACTATAGGTCCATCTAGCCTCCATTGGAGGGGACGTGTTGGAGTCCCACATCTACTAGACTTGGACCATTTCTCTTGTATATATGTTGGAACCTTCTATTTCTCCCCAAGGGCTCTTTTGTAGAGTGATTTGGGGTTCCACATATTCTCAAACAGACAAAAAGTGTGAGCGAAAAGGGAAGAAGAACCAAAACAAGCCAAACGAGTCCCCATTATGTCCCACCTGAAGGTAAAGTTTGGGGGAAAGGGGGTAAGATGTACGCCTCTACCCCGAAGAGTAGAGCGGTTCTTTCCATAAAGACCCACGATTCGAGAAGAGAGAGAGAGAGAGAGAGGCATAACCATATTAAGGTAGTCCAACCGACAAACCTCATCTCTAAACCTCTACCGCTCTACCTCCATGGTTCCTCTCTCTTGGCCATGCTAGCTTCAAAACCGAGAAATTGACCAAAATAGCCATTTTACCCTATTCAATTCACCACTTAGCCAATTTTCTCACGTACTCACCAAAATGTTGATACCTCCGCAAGTGCCCAAGCCGTAACTGCCGTAACTTGTGGAGGGGTATTTTCAAAAAAAAATTGTTTTTCATACTTGGAGGGGACGTGGCTTGTCTTGAAAAGTGGGAAAGAACCCTTCAACGCTCAGCAGGTTGCATACTTTCAACCCTCCACAAGTGGCAAGCTTGTCTTGAGAAGTGGCAGTGGGACTTGAGCTATTTTAGAAAAATGCCCCCTCCGCAAGTTGCGGCAAGGGCACTTGTGGAGGTATTGACTTTTTGGTGAGTGAGGCCAGTGGGAGAGAGTTGGCCAAGAGGTGAATTGAACCGGATAAAATGGCTATTTTAGTCAATTTCCCTACAAAACCTCACCCCTACTCCGCTACCCTAGTCCTTGGTCTCCAATAGCTCCTATCTATTAAATAGTACCCATAATTGAATAGTTCTTGCAAATTACTCTGGACTTTTATGGAGAGGCTGTTTAAGTGATGAATAACAATGTATGATTTTGGGCTTATTCTAAACTTATGAATGATTAAATTAAGAAAATAATAATAAAGACAGGCTTTAGCTACTCAAAAGGACTTACTTTTTATCGCGAGTCAACCTTGAACCATACGAACTTGTATGTGGTGAGTAGACTCTTGTCGCCAAATTGGTTGCGCTCCACTTTGAACAAGAGTCACATAATGTCCTTCCTTTACCAGATTCTTATCCTGACGGGAAAAAAATCATGAAGACTTTGAAAATTATACATAACGATAAGTAAATCCCTCTTCTCATGATTGACAGCAATCCAATTTAGGATGTTACGTTAACATTGCAATGTTTCCTTGTATACAGGGGCAGGTTCAAATGAGAACCGTAAATATTTTAAGAATGTGAGAACCAACTATTAATGATGAATGATGCGATAAATATTCATGATGAGAATTACACATAATGAAAATGCATGATATTCATGATCGGTTCTCAAAATATTTATGCTTCTCATTTGAACCTTCACACACACACACACACACACACACACACACATATATATATATATATATATATATATATATATAGAGAGAGAGAGAGAGAGAGAGATAGAGAGGAGGGAGTTTCAAATACAAACCCTCTAATTAGTAAAACCACATAAACCAATCTCAACCGTTCATCTAGTCTAGTGAATATCTGGTTCAATGAATATCGCGATTGTTTCCGAATATAAATGATGGATCATAATGAATGAACTCTGATAATCTTCCATAAATATCCAGATCATAATAAATGAACGCTCTTCATTTCCATAAATATGCCAATTGATTGGTTTGTACTAATTAGAGGGTCTGCAAAATAAAATGCCCCCCCTCTCTATATATATACATACACATATATACAGGGACCTTCTTTTGACAACCTTTCTTTGCGATAACCTTGAGAATTAGTGCATCATGTGCTATTTCATATGATTTTTACTCATCTAAGACTAGGATTTAGAATATTAATTAACATATATTTGTTTCACAAACCTTTTTAGCTTGTTTCTAAAACAAAAGTTACAAAGGTTTCACATTGTGAACCAAATACAATAAAACAAACACATTGTGAAACATATATATGTTCATCAATACAATAAATGCTAGCCTTATATGGGAAAAATCATCTAAAACAATACCTTAAGATAAAAGTTCTCACGGTCATCACAATATATAGAGTTCTCATTTGATTACGCCATATATATGACATTAATTTGTTTTACAAGATTCATTGATTTTATCGTCATTTAAAGGCGTTTAAGACATTTTCTTAATAGTAACATTTATCTTAAACCATGTTGTAGTCAAATGTTGCACCTTTCATGAGAAGGGGGAAGGACAGAAAAAGATGAAAGGGTAAGCCAACACTAACCAGTAAAATACCAAGAGCTCTTTCAAAAGTCTCCTCAGCATCATCAGAAAACTCCATATAGATGGGCATCACACCGTGATAAAGAATCAGTCTCTGCTTAAGTCGTTTACTACACAAACATAAAATCACCTTATTAAATTAGCTACGGTAAGAGTCCAAATGTAGTTCACTGTCCACATTTTTGTTTTAGCTTGTCCCAAAATAAGTATCTACTTTCAAAAGTTCGGGGCCGTTCACCAAACGCTTACTGGCAGGAAATCACCACCCTCACTTACCTTATCGTGTAACATTCTCAACCATCAAAATGGATTGTTGGTAAACGTCTTTTACCCGGTAAGCGCTAACCAGGTAAGAGTCTTCTCCCTCACCGCGTAAGGTTCTTGGTCCTTGCCATGCTCACCAAATAAGGTATGGGGTTGTTTGGTTGCTTTTCCACTAAGTATTGCATGGATAAAGTTGTCTGTTCTGTCTGTATAGATGGGGATGATTTTTGTTTAGGAGACTTTTTTCATATATTGAAGGAGCATGTTCTTTGAATTGGAAGGACATGTTCCGAAAAAACTTGGCTTTCTACACAAAGCTCCCCACTAAAAGTTGATTGAATAAGCCACTTTCTATATCATTAAGCCACTACCACACAGTCATGTATAGTTGATCGAATAAGTTGTGAGTCCCATTAAGCTCATTAAGCTACTAACAAACAAGCCCTAAGTGACACCCGATAAGCGTTTGGTAAGTTGCTAACAAACAGGCCAAGGTCTGCCACTCCAAGGACTCGACACTCTGGCTAACCCCCTCTTGACAACCTGAGACAATTTGTGTCCATCTAACCTCAGTTGGAGGGGGCGTGTTAGAGTCCCACATCGGCTAGACTTGGACCATTTCTCCTGTATATATGTTGGAACCTCCCCTTTCTCCTCAAGGACTCTTTTGGAGTGATATGGGGGTTTCACATATTCTCACATGGTATTAGAGCCAAGGTCTGCCACTCTAGGGACTCGACACTCTGGCCAACCTCTCGACACCCTGGGACAATTTTTGTCCATCTAGCCTCAGTTGGAGGGGCGTGTCGGAGTCCAGCATCGGCTAGACTTGGACCATTTCTCCTGTTGGAACCTCCCCTTTCTCCTCAAGGGCTCTTTTGAAGAGTGATATGGGGTTTCACATATTCTCACATAAACAAAAGGTACAAAGTTGAATATGTAATGTTAAAAGTGTAGTTTGGACTCACTCGTTTGTGAAGGCGAAGATAGTTGAGAAAGGCCGGTAATGGCTTAATATTACGGCCATTGACCCTGTTCTTGTGAAGACGATGATAGGAGTAGCAAGAGTGTCAGCCATTGTTGAAGCATGGAAGCCAAACATTTCACCCATATGGCTCTGAAAAAAGGTTGTCAATTTTAACCAACATGAAATATACTTGCTCACAAAAGCTACAAAGGTTAAAAGTATAATTACAGGTTATATAAAAAGTATCGATTACCACACACCTTGTAAGCAGTCTGACGAATAGGGGGAACTATTTTGATCGGAGACCTTGATTCGGTCCTCATTGCCACAGTGTGCATAACTTTCACCGCTTTTAAAGGAAACCTGAAATATTAACACGTAAGTAACAGTTAATTGTAATGAATGTGAATTTTGAAGTGGTTGATAGAATAAGTAAGGTTCTAAATGGCGTGACGAGCCACGGCGAGGCCACGATGCTTTCAAGGTGTGACTTATGGCGGCAAATCTCTATATCATATATAATATTATATATAAAAACACATGCTTGTACTATTACTCAATGAGTCAATGATAATAAACAATTTAAATTAGGTTATATATTAAAAATAGCAAATAAGACATTAAAAATGTAAAGAAGATCAAATATCGCTTGACAGAAATCGCGAATTAGGCCATGATGTGGCACATGCTTAACGTGGCATGAGACACAAGCCTTGAGCCACACCGCGCCATGGCGGCTGTTGCCGTGAGCCTTTAGAACAACAAAAACCAAACCAAACAAACCCTGTGCATCCCATCAGGAGATCTAGAAATTTCTAGGCAGGGACACAAAATAAGTAGCATAATATAAAATAATACAAAAAATAATTTTAAGAAGTACGGTTATATTAAAAATGACAAAAAAGTGGTTTTTTTGCAACATAAGAGTGAGTTTTTCCTTCTTTTTTTTATCCTTTTCTATTGCAACCTGTATGCAGACCTTACCTCTATCTCAAGAGACAATTAGAAGGTTAACAAAATAACTAATAACAATACTAGCACCATAAAAAACCTAATAATTAAACGAAGCATTAATGAATCTATTGATCTTAGACCAAACCAAATTAAGCATACTATCCCCTAACAATAAAATGAACATCCAAAGATATCCTTTATCTTAATAAATAAAGTTATCCGACAAATTTACTCGAGCCCTTGTACTTGTATACAAATATTTAAATTTTATTAATTTAAAGGAGACAATTCCTCTATATGGGAAAAAGGCTAATGTAACGGGACAGGGTCTCAAAAAAAATTCAAATAATCGGACAAGATAAGCAAAATATCCATTGCAAGATGAAAAAGAAATTCAAACATCTTGAAATTTTGCATTAAATCCACCATGAATTCGGATTCAGAAAAGTCTGGTGTTCATCATCAACGTTCTCTTTACCTTCAAATTTTTGTTGTTATTAGCTTATTAAGATCTTCATCTACTAAACATTCCATAGAAAGGCATTTGTTTAACAAGTTTCACGGGTAGATCTTTAGTTATAAAAAGGGATAATGTAAGTCCTATCAATATAAGGGAAATAATAGCTTGCATTCTCAGGCTCATTTATTGTTAAGAAACGATCAAAAGTGCATATAATTCACGTATAAACCATAAACCAACCACTTTTATGAAGAGGTGAAAAAGACAACTAATTTTTGTTTTGCTTTTGTTGGCAAAAGATGAAGATACAATGAGATGAAAAAGAAAATCAACTTTTGTTTTGTTTTTGTTAGTGGAAGACGAAGATATAAAAAGGAAAGAGGATGAAGGGTGGGATGGTTTAAGAAGGGTGTTTTCATCTTCTAACAACTAGGCATCTGATATACTTGGACGATATGGTCAGGTTTACCAGAGGAGACAATTAAGGCAACAATGTTAAGAATGGAATATAATCTCCTATTTTAAGCATTTATGTTATTTCTTTTATTGGCAAAATAATTTCTTCTTTTTAGAGGTTCCCTTTTTGGTTTAGGTTTCCTTGTTAGTAGGACACTATAAATATGGTGCTCCATTGTCTCTTGTATTTTCATGCAATCAATTAAGAGAGTCTTTGACTTTTGTGGAGATTACCTGTTCTCGAAATCAGGCACTTCTCGGGTCCTAACCCCAGGGTTGAATTTGGTTCTTATCAACATCTAATAACTTACAAGAAATAGTTTTAAAAAATATGAGGGGTATTTTTGTCCATTTACTGCATTTTTAGCCGGAAATTGATTGCATGGTCGGAAGTGGTGTGACATTTACATTAATTTTATGGCCCACCAGAGACAAAAAGAAAATATGGCATTTTGGTCGTTCATTAAAGAATAAACTGGCCCGAAGATGTATGAACTATTATCCCTTTCTAAAATAATGACTAGGTAAAACAGGAAGCAAATCGCATAAAAGGATACGTTAACTTTTACTTGAATATGCAATATAAAGCTCGAGATAAACTTTGCAACCAATTGGTTCATAAGTTTTCTTATTTTACCTTGACTGTAAAATTTCAAACAGACCACACATGTCTATTCACTTGAGTATTAATTTTACCTTAAAGTGCGTGTTAGTCATACCCCATCATCATCTTTTTGAATTTACTATATTCAATGCAACAACTCACGAAACTAAACATACAAAGACCTGACTTAAAGTCGCGGAAAAGAATGAAAAATTACACAAAGAAAATATGCAAATAATTCAGTCAGCTGTTCAACGTTTGGTAAGACGGAACTGGACAGAACTGGACAGAATAAAACCGATAAAATGACCGATTTACCCCTGATGAGTTGTTTATATATTTTGATTAAGTTATATAAAATTTACTAAATTATAATAAAATAAATATTTTTTATAACAAAATATATCATTAGGAAGTTTTCGTCAAGACGATTAAATTGGGACCAAAATAAGAAATTTGTGTAGTTTCCAATTTTTATTTTATACCTTTCTCTATTATTCTTATTACTAATATTTAATAAATTACATAAATTAACCAAAATATAGATTTCATATAAAAATAATATTCTGAGGACAGTAAAGTGAAAGCTTAAAAAGCTTAAAATAAAATAAATAAAATTCAAAGAATGAATAACATGTAAAGAGAGAGGCATATTTGATGTTTGAGAAGAGAATTAAGTTTTATTTTGAGGTTATATTGGTAAAATAAAGGTCTTTTCCACTCTGTTCCCGCATAAAAGTCCTGCCAAACATGAAACAGTGATTCTTGTACAGTGTATCAAACGCACCCTTAGAAACCGAAATTGTATAGTCCATTTAATTGAATACTATAATAGAGTTAAAGGAAATGGGTCCAATTGTTTGCGACTTTTTCAAGGGTTTATGTTGCTAATTTGAACAGATGTGAGGTTTTATGTGTCATCTATACTATATTATAAAGCATTTGGCTAAAACTCTTAAAAACTCTTAAACTCTTAAAACTCTTAAACCCGTTCATCCCTAAACAATTTCATCCCTATCTAATTTCATCCCATAACTGAATTCGTATAACTAACTGCAGATAAACACAATCAAATACATAATAAACATCTCATTT